TACCTAATGCACACACACACAAACACATACTTACACGGCTACATATGCATACATACATCCACCAAAATACATACATACACACATAGATACATACATGCATGCATGCATGCACACCTATATATAGTACACACACATGCATGCATACACATATAGACAATACACATATACAATCACTCAATTTCAGGAAAAGGATATACTTATTTATAGGCCCCTTTTAGACAGCAAGATGGAATAGAATCAAGAGTACGACAGACAATAACAATAATGTAGGAGGAACTGTTCGCGATAAGCGGCCCACTATATAGTCACTTCCTTTGTCATTCATGCTCCCTCAGGTCACTGGACCTCGCCTTTGTTGCAGGGGTGTTATGATATGACTTGTTTTGGCTTTCGCTCGGCGTATGTTGTATTTGTTGGAGGTTGTGTAGTTGTGAGTCTATTTCAGGCGCCACAGGCGCTTATGTACAGGTAAGAAGTACTGCAAGGGGAAGTGCGGCAGGCTCGACGATTCTTGGCTATCGAAACTGGGATGGTTTTGTATATCTACGTTCTTTGGCAGTGGCTTCCGCCCAAGAGAAAGAAAGCAGTTACAGGGAGCGTAGGAATAGTAAATTATTGCTGTTTCCATACTCCCGAACACGCAAGCGAGCGGTGAGAACACGATAATAGAGGTAACGGTTCATCTGACTCCACTGCAGCATAGGAGAGGTCCTGTGAGCTAAGGAGGCATGAATGGCAAGGAAAGTTACTCTAATCCTGGACCGCTTATCGCGAACAGTACCAAAATGTATATTATAAGATGTTATATATACTTAAATGTATATTAATACACACACACTTGCATGCTACTGTGCTGGCAAACACACACATACACACACACAAACACACTTACACGCTACTGTACAGGTACACACAGAAAACACACGCTACTGTGCAGGCACACACAGACACACACACACTCACTTACACGCTAATGTACAGGTACACATGCACACCCTCTTACACGCAGCTGTGCAGACACTCACACTCATACGCTAGTTTGCTGGCGTGCACACACTTGCACGCTACTTTGCAGGCACACAAAGTATACACACCCAGGCACACTTAACACATGTACAAATACACCTACACACACACGTACACGCATTACCTTGATATGTTTACTTCTGTCCCCATCACACAGGTTCTGTACTGAGAGAGTGATCGGCTTCCACTTTGGGTTCCGGCTATCTTTGATTACCTGAATATATATATTTCAAATTTCTATATCCGCTGTATTATTTATCCGACATTTCTAGTATTCGTTTTGCGAAGTAGGCCGGCTACTCATGTTCTGTTGGTTTATTCTTTGTCCTTGTCTTCCTGCATAGTGCTTTTGTATTGCAACGCCTTTTTCAACTTGTTGATTTTGCAGTCTGACCATAGTTGTGGATGTACAGCCCTCATTTGGTTCTCGTATATGTCTTACTTCCCTTAGAGCAGTGTTTCCCAAACCTTTCTTAGTCGCGGCGCTTTTTTTCAATTACAACTTTTCCACGGCGCCCTAACCTAAGAAAAAGTATGACTACTTGAATATAAGAGATACAAGAAAATAAAACTCGTGGATCTTCGAATATTTCGCGGCGCCCCTGTGAAGAGGTCGCGGCCCCCTGGGGCGCCGCGGCTCACAGTTTGGGAAACACTGTCTTAGAGCATTCAATATGCTAGTCCAGGGCTCGTTTGCTCTTCACCGTAGCTTTTACCTATAAGCTTATTAGCTGGCTTATTTCCTTGTATACTCGCAAGCCTTGGCACTGAAGCTGATCAGTGTGAACCGTGACCGCCGTAGCCACACCAACCGCTGTCTTCGAACCCAACCCATCTCTGTCTACCTGGGCATACTCCTTGAGTCACTGCCCGTGTGAAGATCTGTTGTTTCCGGTAATATCAGTGCTTTGGTTAACAAACACACACACACACACACACACACACACATATGTATGTATATATACACATATATATATATATATATATATATATATATATATATATATATATATATATATATATATACACACGGAGAGGAGAGAAAGCGAAGAAACAAAAAGAGAACGAACGAACGAACTTTATTTTCAAAGGGTTACAAATGAGGCACAGCAGTTGTATTTTATCAAAACAGCGTTTTATCTTCAGTTAACAATATTCATTAGATGAATATCAAACAGGGGGAGGGGGAGGGAGAGAGAGCGAGAGAGAGAGAGAGAGAGAGAGAGAGAGAGAGAGAGAGAGAGAGAGAGAGAGAGAGAGAGAGAGAGAGAGAGAGAGAGAGAGATAAAGAGAGACGTACTCCCTACCTCTGTGCGATGAATCAACTGCCAGTTGGAACCTGGGACTTGCTTGTAAATCTCCAGAAATGGATCCGACTGGGACAGAACATCCTAAAAAAAAAAAAAAAAAAAGATTATTCAACCACATGAGTAGCATAGAAGTTCAGGTAATAATGTCACAAGTAGGCCGTGTCAGTTAATTTTGTTGGAATATAAAGTTCTAAACCTTTATTATGTAAGTTCCTGGTTTGGGGTCCTGGGTCCCTGTTGTGGGGGAAGAAGAAAGACCAAATGCACCTCACCCCACCCACCATCACCTATGTTGTAAATGGCGATTACTTATGGCGTTTCCTTCGAAGTTGGAGTGCATGAGACGCAAGGAACCAAGAGCACACAAATATGCAAGATCTGTAAAACAGATCTGCACTCAAAAGTCAAGTTCTGGAACGAGGTTAAAGTCAGAAGTAGTCGACAAACCAGAACACTCCGCCCGACATTTTTAACTTACCATCCTAATGAGCTGATATGGTTGGAATGGTCAACATCCAGTCGGCACTATAGTCTGTTCAGGAATTCATGAACACGTTTACAACCTATTTTTTCAACCAATGCCTATTAGATAGGAGGCAGTTTTGTGCACACAGCCTTTAAATATCCTTGTTGCACTCTTGAGTCAATAGATGCTCAGGATTTTGATAATCAGGCAATTCTTTTTATATTTTCAATTCATCGTAAATAAGTAGAATGCAATTTTAGATTTTAAATTAAACATGTTAATTTCAAGTTCAAGTAAAAAAAAAAAAATTTTTTTTTTTTTTGCGCATCTTTATAATAATTGATGCTCTATCTAGGCCAAGCGTTAGCTTTGTTAATTTCTTGGTGTCACAAATATTACAATATAAATGACCCATCTTAGATTCCCAACAGAAGTGCTGTACGGTAAAACGGTAAACCGCTGCATAGTTAAAAATTTACGCCTCAATGGCATTTAAAAAGTGATGTCTGTTTTGTCAGTTTTGATGAGCCAAAAATATGACACAATAACTAATTTGTGGATACGCCTTCAACTAAACAACCGTGAGCGACTTCTTATTTTGGGTTCCGTTCACAAATCGTGAAATTACAACGTTTTTCTTTGATTTCCCATTGGAAGCCTGTATACTGTGCTTATTAACATTATATCCTGACACTAATGAAAGTAAACCTTACAGAACTCTACCAAGCCGATTTCCTGATAAAAATATACATCGTAAAGAAGGAGAGAACACCCACTACACTTAATACTCTCCATTAGTTAAAAAAAAAAAATCCTTAACGTAATGGATGTCTGGAGTTAGCATACCAAATTTCATTACAATCGGTCAGTTAGTTAACAAAATATTAAAATCTCTTCATCTTCATGAATTACTGAACGGACTATAGCATAACAAAAAGTGATAGTGATGCTTGTGGTGATCATGATGATAGAAATGTAATGGTGATATGATGATGATGGTTATGTGATGATGACCTAATAATCAAGCTGTAATGGTATAATATTGGTGGGCTATGGTAATGGTAATGGATGTTTTTGAGATACACATTATGATATCGTGATGATAATAACTGGTGTGATAATGATGACACAAAGAAGAGAAGAAAAACTGACATTTTTAAACAGCTGAACATCGAAGAAGATTGCCTAATAAACAGTATCTTGTCTAGAAAGCTGAAATATTTTCGTGATATCAAGCGCCACGACGGATTGTAAACATATAATAGCAGAAGGCATGAAACCAGGAAGGAGGGGCAGGGGTCGACCTTTACGAAAATGGACGCAGGATTTAAGTGACTCCTTGAACATGGAAGAGCGCTAGGAGGGAAAGCTGGCAAGAGACCGAGATTCTTCCAGGCAGACCGTGATGAGAGCGACGTTCTGCAAAGGACCTGCCACCTAATCATGTTGATAACGATCATAATGATACTGATAATACTAGTGCTGACAGTCATATAATGACAACGACAATGGTGGGGTCATCGTGACGATGTTCAAATTCACAATCATCATCATAATTCATTTCTACTTTTGCTGTTAAACGTCTTGTGGGGAGAACCGTCTGCGATCTGTTGCTTGATGGGTAGCACTGGCTGTTTCCATTAGAAATGTGTCGAAGTTTGGCACTGGTAGCACATTATTGGTGTGAATATGTTGTTTATAATCTGTTTCTAGGCGGTCATAGTTATCATCGGCGGACTGCTCGCCAACTGGCTCGTCGTTTGACGACTTAGTCGCCGATCGTGACAGTATTTCGGTCCGTCTCCTTTGATAGCGTCAATACTGCAGGAGTCCTTTTTAGGGTTCTTGGTGGCGTGCAATGCTAGTCATTTTTAGCGCACATAACCTAGTCACAATTATATCACAAAGCTCCCTTTTGGGGATGATGGTGAAAGTGACTTCAGATCGGATTGGTCATAATTATATTTTAATGTCCTAATAACGGCGTTTAAATAGTATCATGAAAAGATAATCAAACCAAACCAAAAGCAAAACTAGTCAATTTCAAATTATCACAATCATAGACGGTAAGTGAACGTTGCCGTTAGAAGACCTTCATCAGTGCATGCTGTGAAAAAAAAATATATTAAGTTTACAAACAAGAATACACAGATCAATTCAACTGTGGTGTCTACCTGGCAGCCATTGTTATTTCTAAACATACACACACACACACACACACACACACACACACACAAACATGCACACACCACACAAATCCTTCTCATGTGGGGTTCGCTGACCTATTGTTGAGGAAATAAGAATAGGCCCTCTGCCACCATTAAACATGTCGTAAGAGGCGACTTATTAAAGTTGGTTTCTTTGAAGTCTGAGCGCATCTGCCAAAGAAACGAGGATCCAACAGTCTGCACACAAATAAGCTAGATATGTGCACGCAAAACTGAAGACACAAGTCCAGAAGTGGGTGAGCTTCCAGAACTTTCCTTCACAGTTTACAGCCAGACAAATAGAAGAAAAAGGAAGAAGAAGAAGAATAAATTGGTCTTGGTGCTGATTATAAACCAAAGACCTTCGAGCTGGCAAGTGAGCATCTATTCGCTACGCCACAAGGATCTTACAACAAAAAAGCTAGTACGGTACAATATTCACCACCTTACCTTTTTATCTAAATTCTTTGCCCAGAAAGACAAGCGAACTGTGTCGGATTCTTCGTCTGCCTCAATAGCTCGAATCTGCCACACACAAAAAAGTCTTAGTTACAAAGCAGTATTCTGCCGCTGTGGACTGAACGAACAAGGACAAAAACAATGTAATAAAACACACTGAAGAAAACTATATTCGATGAACACGAACAAAATGTTCGTCTTAGCTGAATGTATTATTATTATTGTTGTTATTATTATTGTTATGTTATCACAGTCGAGGTCTTTGCACATTGGGCATTCCCATGCGTGCTCAGTCCCCGGATGCAGCAGCCACTTCAAGGTACCTCTACTTATTGTTCCAATAAGGAGTTGGTTATAGTATCTACTGTCTTACCTCTAAGACGGCATAGTCATGCTTTACCAAGCTTAACTTCTAGGTCACGAAGTTGTGTTAGCTATTATTATTATTTTTCCTCGGTCAGCAAGAATTGTTGAAACACAAACTCTTGACGTTTTTTAGTTCCTGTTTAGTTAATGTTACCGAGTTTTATTTATAAGGTATAATTTATTAAAAGCAGAACTGCCCACGCACTGATGAGGAATTCAGCCGGCTAGACAGATTTGCGATTTCTCTCGGAGATACATCAGTTGTATGATTGTTCACATTCTTGTTTGTATCTGTGGTATCGTCTATTGAAATAATGTACCGATTAAGGTTCGCTAGCCGATACGATAACTTGTCATTGGTGTCTTTGATCACGTGAAGCATGCCGGTATTACTTGTCGTTTGGTGTGAAATATTTTTCTGATTGTATTACAGAAGTTAAGGACATTTTACCACGCCATATGCGCATTGGGGGCACAATGAAAAAAAAAAAAAAAATTTAAAATACATATTTTGATGACATTTACCCATCAAGCATATTGTGCTATACCAACGGTTCCCAACATATGGGTTGCGTCTTTTCTGTGCGGGTCAAACGATCATTTCACAGTGATCACTAAAGGCCATCGAAAAATACGTATTAACTGAAGTTACCGAGTAGCAACGGAACTAATTGTATGGTTTGTGGGGGGGGGGGAAGGGAGGGGGGTGTCGCCACACTGCAGAACTGTATTGAAGGGTCGCCGTATTAGGAAAGTTGAGAACCACTGTTCTAGATCGATTTTTTTTTTAAAACAGAGAGGCAATCGATGGGGGATGTCAAAATAACTCTGGCCGTCTTTACTTCCCATTTTTTTGGAACTTTTTTAGACTCGATTAGGATTGTTTTTCTGTACTTGTGCTTCTTTATGTTTTTCATGTCGTTCTTCTTGTTGTTTTTGTTACTCCTGTTGTTTTTGTTCTTCCTGATGTTTTTGTTCCTCCTGTTGTTTTTGTTCTACCTAATGTTTTTGTTCCTCCTGTTGTTTTTGTTCTTCCTGATGTTTTTGTTCTTCCTGATGTTTTTGTTCCTCCTGTTGTTTTTGTTCTTCCTGATGTTTTTGTTCCTCCTGTTGTTTTTGTTCATCCTGATGTTTTTGTTCTTCCTGTTGTATTATTTCTTCCTAATTTTTTTTTGTTCTTCCTGTTGTTTGTGTTCCTCACTTTTTTGTTGGGGTGCTGCTGCTCTGCCTTCTGAACTTCCGCCTAGAGCCACGTCTGCTGACAAGATTTGTTACTTGGAATCTGAAACTGATATTTATCAATCCAGTCGCCAGAAGCTGCTTCTGTAATCAAACAAATAAAACGTTTATTTAATCTGGGCCGAACTGAGAATCACTGTCAGAATTTAACATTACGTACTAATGTGGACTCGAACCCAAAACCTTCGAGGGCACAAGCATGTGTCTAACACTTCGCTGCAGCGGCTAAAGGACTGATAATTGATCCTCCTTTTCCGCAGGCTGCTACCATGAGATTTGACATCCCGGAGACCACATAAGTAAGATGTTGAACGTCAATCTACCAGGTAAACAGCCAGACTCCTGCTTCAACTTTCATCTTTTTGTCCCGAACAAGTTCAGAAAAGGAAAAGCATTCAACATTGACTAACTCTTAGGTCATGACATCCACCCCACCCGTTTTTTCCCCCCTATCCTGACAAGTGTTATATTCCACGCATGTCTGTGACAACACGCCCTAAATAATACAACATAATGGCACGAAATAAACTCTGTCTGAAGCTTTCCGACATGCCAACAAAACTGTCGTAAACGCCAATCACCCACATAAGAATAAGTAACACCTATTAAAGACACAAAATAACGCTATTACAAAAGTAAAGGCAAATGGATACGGCTATTAACAGGATTCAACTCGCTGCCATCAACCACCTACACTGCGCAACGCCAAATCCTGAAACTGAAGCCTCGCAGGTGTCTGATGGCTAATGTGTTTGCTTTATTTGCATATATATGAAAATAAATACGGATGTGAGTAGATCTTTTTCACAAACACAAAAGAAGAAATTATTGGCTTTTGAACCTCAGTGTGACACAAAAATTGCCAAAATGCCACGTTAACAGAAAATAGAAGGTGTTGACATTTAGCGATATCTGAACACCGAAGTAGACATCAAAGATGAATAGAGAGACATACAGACAGACAGCCCGACTGACAGACATAAAGATAATAGACAGACAGACAGACGGACTGACAATTATACAGACAGACAGACAGACAGACAGACAGACAGACAGACAGACAGACAGACAGACAGACAGACAGACAGACAGACAGACAGACAGACAGACAGACAGACAGACAGACAGATATATAGATATATAGACAGATAGATAAATAGATAGATAGACAAACAGACAGACAGACAGACAGACAGACAGACAGACAGACAGACAGACAGACAGACAGACAGACAGACAGACAGACAGACAGACAGACAGACAGACAGACAGACAGACAGACAGACAGACAGACAGACAGACAGACAGACAGACAGACAGATATATAGATATATAGACAGATAGATAAATAGATAGATAGACAAACAGACAGACAGACAGACAGACAGACAGACAGACAGACAGACAGACAGACAGACAGACAGACAGACAGACAGACAGACAGACAGACAGACAGACAGACAGACAGACAGACAGACAGACAGACAGATCTTTAAACGCATACATACAGAAATACTTCCTGATTCCTTGTTATTCTTAGCAAGCAGCGGCTTAACGTAAGGTCGGTTTGCAACAATCTGACATGATAAAACAACACGTGCTAGTTATAATTAACATCATCATTATCATCATCATTGTCATCGTCATCATAAACTGCTTCTGCCGTTAAGCCTCAATGGATTAGTGATTTGCTATTCTGTGCACGCTGGCTGCAACTGGTTATTGTCATGCCGCGAAGGCGTAAGGTATCTTTAATGTTGTCGATCCATGTATTCGCGGCCGACATCTTGCTCGTGTAGCCGATTTCCTGACACGTAGTGCCTGGGATGTTATTTGATCTTGCTACTTGCTAACGGGATGGTTAAACCACTTGATCTGCTGTTTCTCGATGAATCTAGTAAAAGGTGTGATTCCCACAATCGGTCTAATGTGTAATTATTCACTTCATCTGGGATCGTAAAGATGGCGGCTATTCTCAGGCACCTTATCGTGCAAGTGGTGATTTCGCGTACACGAGCTTTAGACAAGTGTCCATGTTTGGCACTGGTAGCTTGATGTTGGAATGAATATGCTGTTTATAATCTGTCTCTGCATCCATGTTTGGGTGTCATAATAATGGTGACAATTGGTATATGATTACACTTGCATTCTGACATCTGGTTTCTATTTCTTTGTCAATTCTGCCGTCTACTGTGATCTTACTTCTAGATATTGAAATTCTCAAACTTAGTTCAGACCACAACCATTCAGCTGTTTGTGTAGGGGGGCAGGGGTTTTAATAACTTTTATTGTTTTGGTTTTTGTTTGCATTGATCTCAATATTGTATTTACTGCCTGCTGAACTTAACCTTTTAATGTCGTCTTTCAGTCTGTCTTCTTCAGTTTCGAACAAGCATTGATCGTCAGAATATAGAAGTTTGTTTAATGTTGGTGAGTTGATTACTTCGTCTGATGTGTGTAATTTGCTCTTGAAGAGTTAAAACCAAAAAAGGCAATTATTACTAAATAATAATCTTCGAAAATCAACGAATGAAGCAATGAATGACTGATAACTTTTTCGGGTGAATCCAGACGGGCAATCAGTTGCCTTGTTCGATTCACCCACAATGATTCTTTATTATACCTTTCACACTTTTGTGACCAAAATCCCATACCACAAGATTCGTTTGGCTTTAGTTGAATTCTCTCTCTCTCTGTACATCAGTGGTTTACTATTAGACGGTTAGGAATCGACATCATCGCACACCGGGCTTACCCTATTGATGATCCGTCTCCGGCAACAAATGTCTAAAATTGTAGATGCTGTTTCCGTTGCTCATTGATTATATACACATCGTTCTTTTCCTCTCATACATCCATCCTTGCCAGATCCGAATTCCTCCTTGCTGTAGTGATTATCTCCACCTCCATTCTCATGCTTGAAGTTGTAAATAAAAAAGTACCATTTTGTTCTGCCAGGATCTTCAACTTCATTCTAGCTGAAAATCCCCAGCAAGATCTTTCATCCCGATAAAGAGAACCATTGGCGTACACAACTGAATCCTGTAGCGGAGTGTTTCCATATGTCAGTAGTCGTACCTCTAATCGCTGCAATACTGTTCCACCGCTCTCTCGACATTCCTAATCTGATAATGGCTTGAAGCGGTGAGGACGTAAAGTAATTACGAATCCTCAGGACCCTTAATAATTGGCGCAGTGAGGTTTCAAGTCTAGTTTTAGTGAACAATAATAATAACTTTTTTTTTGTAATTGTTTTACAGAATTGACTGAATGGTTGGAATGCAGGGCTCCCATGCGTGATACCCAGGGTTCGAATCCCCGGTAAGGTTGTGAGACCGTAAATCTTCAGGCTGAAAAGCTCTAACGCTCACACTACAAAAGGGCTAAATACGGGCACTAATAGCAGTTGATCATCATCATCATTATTATTATAACAAAAAGTAAAGGACCTTATTCTACGCCTTTAAGCGTATTGGGAATATAGGGCTAGATATATATTTTATAGACCAAACGGCATTTAATGGGTGATGTGTTCAGCATCACGCCGACCGCCTTTACTACCCAGGACTGCACCCGGTACCCAGTCAAGGCTGAGTCGACCTGGAGTCAAGGTCGTTTCCCCCAAAAATTACGGCTCTGCCGGGAAGCGAACCCACCAGCTTGCGATCCGCATGCGAGCGTCTAGCCGTTAGACCACCGCTTTTATCATTGTTATAGGCAGCTGACAAATAAAGATAATAATATACTAGAAATAATATTCCCTTCTTCGTATTTTCGCCTCACCGTCTGTAAACTCCGGCGGAAAGTTTGGTTTTTGTCCACATCTAGCAGGGTCTACAACATGAGCACATTCCTTTCACGGATCTGAATTTTTGTGTGTGCAACCGTTGGTTCCTTGCCTCGCCGGCAGAGGCGCTCTGATGTTGAAGGATGCTCCCAGTTTACGACATGCAGTGTTGTGAGGTCGGTGGGTCTATTCTTGTTTTTTTTTTTTTTTTACCAACAACTGGGCCCAAAGTTTCCTCAAGGGGATGAAGCAATATGAAATACACAAACACATACTTAAAAAAATTTGAAATATACAAACACATACTTAAAAAATGAAATATACAAACATATACCTCAAACAATATAAAATTTACAAAAATATAATTAAAACAAGATGTAATACACAAACATATAATTAAAACAATAGGAATATACAAACATATACTTGAAACAGTTTGAAATATACTTAAACAATATGAAATATACAAACATATACTTAAAACAACATGATACATACAAGCATATACTTAAAACAATATAAAATATACAAACATATACTTAAAACAATTAGTTTTCTTGTGTCGCTGAGAGTGGGGAATGGTGGTGGGGGGGGGGGGGGAGGGTGAAGCAGAAGTTAGTTCCACAATAATTTGTGGTGGTGGGTTAAGGGACCAGAAGAAGTCATATGGGTGACTGACCTGCAGGATGTTTCCATGTTTCAATGTGATTTATTTAATTTAAAAAAATATATAAAGTTGTTTCACTATCTGTGGTTTTGTTTCTTCTTCTTCTTTGTTTTCACCGGCTTTAAGCTCCGGCCAAACGTCTTGGTTGTTCGTCCATTTGGACTTTGGCTTTGTTCCAGGCCTGCCTTTTGCGTGTACATCCGTTTTACTTGTTTTTTCCCCCTGCAGTTTGTTGTTCCTTGCCGCTCGGGCAGATGCAGTCCGACTCTGAAGGAAGCTCTTACGGCATGCTTGTTGGGGAAGTAGTAGGTCTATTCATGCTTTTTCCACAACTGGGCCCTGGAACCCACACGGGGAGCGTTGCTGTGTGCAAATGAAGGCTTTCTGGCCGCAATTATCATTTGTGATTGGTGATTGTTATTTACTCAGACGTTGACTACTTTTAATTGTTATGGTTGATTTATTTGTCATATTTTTTTAAGTAGGTATTTGTATATTTCAAATTGTTTCAAGTATATGTTTATATATTTCAAGAGAGAGAAAAGAAAGAAAGAAAGAAAGAAAGAAAGAAAGAAGGAAAGAAAGAAAGAAAGAAAGAAAGAAAGAAGAAAGAAAGAAAGAAAGAAAGAAAGAAAGAAAGAAAGAAAGAAAGAAAGAAAGAAAGAAGAGAAAGAAAAAAGAAAGAAAGAAAGAAAGAAAGAAAAAAGAAAGAAAGAAAGAAAGAAAGAAAGAAAGAGAAAGAAAGAAAGAAAAGAAAGAAAGAAAAGAAAGAAAGAAAGAAAGAAAGAAAGAAAGAAAGAAAGAAAAAAAGAAAGAAAGACAGAAAGAAAAAAAGAAAGAAAGAAAGAATGGAAGAAAAAGAAATAAAGACAAAGAAAGACAGACCAAAAAGAAAGAAAGAAAAGAAAAGAAAGAAAGAAAGAAAGAAAGAAAGAAAGAAAGAAAGAAAGAAAGAAAGAAAGAAAGAAAGAAAGAAAGAAAGAAAGAAAGAAAGAAAGAAAGAAAGAAAGAAAGAAAGAAAGAAAGAAAGAAAGAAAGAAAGAAAAAAAGAAAGAAAGAAAGAACGGAAGAAAAAGAAATAAAGACAAAGAAAGACAGACCAAAAAGAAAGAAAAAAAAAAGGAAGAAAGAAAGAAAAAGAAAGAAAGAAAAAGAAAAAAGAAAGAAAGAAAGAAACAACAAAGAAAGAAAGAAAAAATACAGAAAGAAAGAAAGACAGAAAGAAAGAAAAAAGACAAAAAAGACAGAAAGAAATAAAGGAAGAAAAAGAAGAAGGGACGAAAGAAAGAAAGAAAAAAAAGAAAGAAAGAAAAAAAAAAACAGAAAGAAAGAGGTAACAATCTCAAAAAATAATATAAAAAAGAGCTTATAGTCGGTAATACGAACCTGGCCGAGAGTACATTCCATTTGACCCAGCAGATCTTCCTCTTTGGGCAGCTCGGAAATCTTGTCCACATCGTAGACTTTGATGACCACTCGCTGGACGTCCCCAAAGTTGTACCGAACTCTGATCGGCCTGGCGAATGTTGGGTTTAGTGTGTTGGTCAAAATCTCGGTTCTGCCAACCTGCAGATAAACATAGCTAGGCATCGTCATTCACATCACACCACCATCATCATCATCGCCACCACTATCATTGTCATCATTATCATTATCATCATCACCACTACTAATATCACTGTCATCATCACTAAAGCTCACGACTTGAGAAGAAGAAGTAGAAGAAGAAGAAGAAGAAGAAGAAGAAGAAGAAGAAGAAGAAGAAGAAGAAGAAGAAGAAGAAGAAGAAGAAGAAGAAGAAGAAGAAGAAGAAGAAGAAGAAGAAGAAGAAGAAGAAGAAGAAGAAGAAGAAGAAAGAAGAAAGAAGAAGAAGAAGAAGAAGAAGAAGAAGAAAAAGAAGTAGTAGAAAGAAGAAGAAGAAAAAGAAGAAAAAAAAAAAAAAAAAGAAAGAAAAAAAGAAAAGAAGAAAAGAAGAAAGAAGAAGAAGAAGAAGAAAGAAGAAGAAGAAGAAGAAGAAGAAGAAGAAGAAGAAGAAGAAGAAGAAGAAGAAGAAGAAGAAGAAGAAGAAGAAGAAGAAGAAGAAGAAGAAGAAGAAGAAAACGTACACAGCAACAACAAAAATGACAACAACACGATCTGGTGGGTGGTATTCCAGTATTTATTGTGTAGAAACCGTTTACCTCTTCAAGACGCCCAGCTCTGTTGGACATGTGTAGAACTACACAAGGATCAGATTTGCTCAGGATGTCTTTGTCCTTCAAGTTTTTGCATTCAAAGTACAGATCCAGGGCGCTTGAACTCGGCTGGTCACCTTGGTGCCTGGCAGTAAACTGAGGGCTGAGTGGGCATGCCATGTATTCTTGTACTGTGAGGAATCTTCCTTAACGACTGTAGTTGGATATCTCGCAGACTTTCTACAATAAAAAATAATAAAACGCATAGAAAAATCTGGATACGAGTCTCCTTGATTTACCACAGAAGCCCGTTCCCATTTTGATGTCGTGTCGAACTAGCCGTTAGGCGAATATGTATTTTTCAAAACTATGATTATTCCAGGATGTTATATGTGTGAGACAGGAATAAGTGCTCTCCCCACTTTTATTTGACATTATATAGACTGGATATCTGAAAAAGCAAGTTCTAGGACAGACAACGCAGATCGTAATAATCACGAGGAAGTACACACATCAGACGAACTAATCAACCTAACATTAAACGAACTACTATTTGCTGACGACAAATACTTGTTCTGCAGTAAAGGAGATAGACTGCAAGACCACATTAAAAGGTTCAACTCACGATGCAGTAAATACAACATTAAGAATGGTTCTGGTCTGAATTCCTTCAGGGAATTAAAAAATTTAGGATAGAAGATGGCAGAATTGACAGAGAAATCGAAACCAGATGTCAGAAGGTAAGTGAACTTAGATACCAACCATCACCATTATTAAGGCATCCAAACAAAACCATAAGTGCAAAGAGACAGAATACTATTTGCAATTTCATTCCAACATTAGGTTAGCAAACATGTACACTATCTAAAACTACGCAAAATCCCGACTTGCTAGATGAGGTGCCTGATAAAAGCAGCTAAGATAACCAACCGAGATGGAGTGAATAATGACACTATCAGACAAAATTGTGTGAGCAATACTTTGCACTAATTTCATCGAGGAACAGCAGATAAAGTGATTTAACCATCTCTCTAGTATGCAGTAAGATCAAATAACATCCCAGGCACTACATCTCAGAAGATCAGCTACATGAGCAAGAGGACGGCCACGAAAAATATCGATCGACAATATTAAAGACATCTTCGCTTTTACGGCATGACAGTAACCAGTGACAGCCAGCGTGCACAGGATCGCAAATTACTGCCCCATCGAGGCGTAACGGCAGAAGCAGTTTATGATGATGATGATTATGTTTTAGAAATGGTACATAAAACACAACAATGCAATCTATGTACACACTTCTTCTTATTCTTCTTCTCTTCCACCTTGTACCTCAACGAAGTGTCGGGGGAAGATGTAATGTTCGTTGATGGGCTCTGTCAAGAGCACTATTAAGACTGATGTTCATTTCTGTAAGGCTGTTCTTAATGCCATCACTCCATATTTTCCGAGGTCTTCCACTCGCTCTATACCCGTTGTAATGTTTTAGTGTGGCTCGCTGTGGCAAATAGTACCAGGGCATTCTTGTTAGGTGTCCAAACCACTTCATTTGTTGTTCTTTGATGACCTGTAAGACTGGCTTTATTCCTAGCATTCGTCTGATTTCATGATTTCGTATTCTGTCAATACTTGAAACTCCTGCAGCTCTTCTAAGGCATTTCATCTCTGTTGTCACAATTTTACGTTCATTGGAGGATGTAAGTGTCCACGTTTGGCATTGATAGCATAGTGTTGACCAAAATATAATTCTGATAAGATTCTCTCTAGCACTCCGAGGCATCTGCTTGTTGTCCACAGGGAAGATAGTTGACCTATTACTTGATTAGCTATTGGCACATCTGGAGCTAATTTCTCTGTCCAGTTTTCCGTCAGATGTAAAAATTGCTCCCAAATACTTAAATTCCTCTGTTTGTCTCAGGGTGTTGTTTTTTAATTTAATTTCCAAATTGTCTTTATGTCTTCCTATCATCATTGTCACTGTCTTCGTAGTGTTTATTTTCATATGGTATTCCTTCCCTTTGTTACTAATTTGATTTAGGATGAACACACAATTACTGTAAATAATTTGAAAAATACACATAATAACGGAAACATTTTGACCCTATCAATGTAGTTACTTTTCTTAATTACTATTTTGTGTGTGTATGTGTGTGTGTGTGTGTGTGTGTGTGTGTGTGTGTGTGTGCGTGCCTGCGTGCGTGCCTGTGTGTTTGTGATCGTAAGTGGCATAGGTCGTAAATCCAGAGAAGGTGTATTAGTTCACGTTTCTTTTGCTTCAAGCTGGTATGTTTTATCTATCGTCGTTGTTTTGAAAGCTGTGTTAAAAATAACTTCGTTGTTCATTGTCCTTTTCAAACTCGTCTACGTAGTACGTCGGTCATACTTGCTGTAATTTTCCTTTGCGACTGTGTAGAGTGGGTTGTACAGATTTTTTTATAAGTAGTCAAAAAAAAAAAAAAAAAAAAAAATAATCCTAAATATAAACACATTTCTCAGTTTGGGTTCCAGGGCAACAAGAATAGACCAACTGCCCCCTCAAGCATGTCGTAAAAGTCGAATAAATAGGGGTTTTCTTCGAAGTCTTAGTGCATCTGTCAAAGAAGCGAGGAACCAAAAGTCTGCATAAAGAAAAGCGAAATCTGTAAAATTGATGTGCACGCAACAGTCTAGTTCTGGGACAAGACTCAATTCTAGAAGTGGACAAATTAAAAGAAAAAAAGAAGAAGAAGAAAAAGAAGAAGAAGAAGAAGAAAAAGAAGAAGAAGAAGAAGAAGAAGAAGAAGAAGAAGAAGAAGAAGAAGAAGAGAAGAAGAAGAAGAGAAGAAGAAGAAGAAGAAGAAGAAGAAGAAGAAGAGAAGAAGAGAAGAAAGAAGAAGAAGAAGAAGAAGAAGAAAAGAAAGAAAGAAAAAATAATAATAATAAATAATAATAATAATAATAATAATAATAATAATAATGTAATAATAATAATAATAAAGAAGAAGAAGAAGAAGAAAGAAGAAGAAGAAGAAGAAGAAGAAGAAGAAGAAGAAGAAGAAGAAGAAGAAGAAGAAGAAGAAGAAGAAGAAGAAGAAGAAGAAGAAGAAGAAGAAGAAAACGAAAATAATATTAGTAACCATGGGAAAGCGCTGCAAATGAGCTTGGGTAACCACCATCACAACTAGTTTTGTGTATGGCAACAAATAAATCTCCAGGGTACGATGAGACGTTGTCCAACATTTCTTTTCCCTCTGTCGTTGTCCCTTACAATATTTGGGTGACCCTCGTGTCTCTACAGACCAGTTGTCCGTCGATAGGTCACTGATCAATATTAGACTGCATGCCTTTATTTTAACATTTTCTGGTGTCATTTTTGGACTGCATCAACCTGGGATACAAAAGTATTAACTAGCGAATATTACCAGGACAGGCTATCAGGTTAACAACTGCACTACCAGTACGATTTCTATTTGGGTATAGGATTAACAGCTCAAGGATGAGAATCAAACAGGCACAAAACTCGGACATTCCGTTCAGTCGGATTATTATATTAATTAATCTTTCCTCTTGAGCCTAGGGTGGTGCAAAGGTCATAGCTCTCCTGGTCTGGCGGTTCGTTGCCACCTGTTTTAGGCCTTGGATGTTTGTTATGCCCATGGATGATGTGCGTTCCCTGATGGTGGTTTTAGACAGGGTCTCCCTGTTACTTTACAGCACAGTGAGACTAGGGCCCCACAAAATGGTTACCAACAAATCTGTAGTCTTGTGCCAGTGCTATTACTTGAAGACCCTCTCCACTGGAAGACAGTAGAAAAACAATGACAAAGTACATACATTTGTTTTATTTGTGAATAAAACTGAAAAATTATTCAGAAATAAAGGGTGTGCTATGACTTAAGACCCTCTTCACTGGAAAACAGAAGAAAAACAATGACATAGCACATATTTTTGCTTTATTTATGAATAAAACTGAAAAATTATACAGAAATAAAGTGATATATTACGCAGGTATTGTCAGACTTCAAATTATACTTACCTCACTAGCGTTTACCTTTTCACTTTAAAACACCTGACGCAGAATTTTAGAAAAGTAATGGTAAGTTAGGTAAAAGCGCCGGGTTATAAATAGTGTTGTAATATGAGAATAAACGTTTAACAAAAATCTCGCCCAATCATCGACACATATAATGAATGCACAATAGTTTTTAACTGGATTGACTGCAAGGAATGGGCTAAAGGGGAGACAAAGCATTATCTGTGTGGGTGGTAATGACAAGAGTCATATGGCAGGGGGAGATAATGGAAAACTTAATAGAATGACACAATGTGGGGTGTTGCAACAAAAGAAAAAAGGATCTTAATTTAAAAAAAAAAAATTTTTGAGAGGTGTTATTACACTTGTTATGTACGCGGTAAAAATGTTTCAGCAGCACAGCTGTTCTCAACCTACGGGTCGCGATCCTTTTTTGGGTCGAACGACTCTTTCACACGGGTCGCCTAAGACCATCGGAAAACACATATTCATTGAATTTATGAAGTAGTTACGAGAATAATTGTATATTTGGGGGTCGATAAAACACGAAGAACTGTATTATTTGCTTCACTGTAACACGAGAAACTGTATTAAAGGGTCGCCACAACATGAGGAACTGTATTTAAGGGTCGAGGCATTACGAAGGCTGAGAACCACTGTAGTCGCAATACTTTCTTTGTGAGATAACGCTAAGTGATCGGTGTGTGAGATGTCTGTTTGAATGTCTTATTCTTGCGCCTCGTCTTTATCTGGCCATTCCTTCGTTTGTCTGTGTGACTGCTTTTTCTTCTGTGTTTGTCAACGAGTGCAGCAGTAATCATGTATTCCCAATGCTCGCAATTCTTCTTCTTCTTCTTCTTCTTCTTCTTCTTCTTCTTCTTCTTCTTCTTCTTCTTCTTCTTCTTCTTCTTCTTCTTCTTCTTCTTCTTCTCTTCTTCTTCTTCTTCTTCTTCTTCTTTCTTCTTCTTTCTTCTTCTTCTTCTTCTTCTTCTTCTTTCTTCTTCTTTCTTCTTCTTCTTCTTTCTTCTTTCTTCTTTCTTCTTCTTCTTCTTCTTCTTTCTTCTTCTTCTTCTTCTTCTTCTTCTTCTTCTTCTTCTTCTTCTTTCTTCTTCTTCTTCTTCTTCTTTCTTCTTCTCTCTTCTTCTTCTCTTCTTCTTCTTCTCTTCTT